GGGCACAGGTAGTAACCATAGGTACAGGCATGGGATGTATTATTGGGTGGGACCTGTGTCCTTGGCTCATGCAGAGTCCCCACAGCCTCTTTCATGAAGACCCTGGACTCCACCAGCTTCTGTCCCTGTGTGTCAATGAGTCCCCAAATACTGGTCTTTTTGATTTGTGCACAAAGAACCTTCTAGTCTAGATCCTGGGTGCTAAGCCTCCTCCTCTTTCCACCACAGGTGACATCAGCTTCATACTTAGTGCACATAGGGATTACATTCAGGGTAGGGGAATGAGAGTGTTCATTCCAGCAAGTCAGGCTGATTGAGTTCAAATCCCAGCTCTGTAACTTTTATGTCATTTTGAAGAGAAAAACTTGCTGTAGTTTCTATACCTCCTTAAGAGACTAACCCAGGAATTGGCAAGCTATTTCTGGAAAAGGTCAATGTTTTAATCACTCAGCTGTGTTATTTCAGCTTGCATTGTATCCACAAGCAAAGTATAAATAAGTTGGCACAATGGTGTCTCAATAAAACTTTATTTATTAGACACAAACATTTGGATTTCATATAATTTTCATAAGTCACAAAATATTCTTCTTGATATATATGTATATATTAGCTATGTAAAAATTATAAACACACACATATATATCACACACACTCACACTCACACACACACACACACACACACACACACACATATACATCACACACACTCACACTCACACTCACACACACACACACACACACACACAAACACATTCTAGTTCTAAAACAAAATAAAGGATTTTATTTTGTAGGCTGGTGTTTATTATGTCCTAGGGTCATTTATGTAAGTGCTTAGCACAACTCCCAGCATACCACTCTTGAGTTGAGATTATGGGAATACTATTTGTTTGGCGGGAGTGTCTAGCTATGCCCTTTACTGGCCCTTCTCTCCTGCCCCACCCTGCTCCCAAAGTGGGGACATCCTGCCACACCCCTTGGCCTCTCTCTACTGTGCCCTCTCCAAACATGCTCCCAGGCCCTGGGCCAACTGTCTGTCTGAGGGCGCAGAGTACACCTTGTCCTAGTGTCAATGACTTAGGTCAGAAATGAACAGTTGGGATCTAAGGATGGTGCTAATTTCTTTTGTCACACACATCAGGCAGTGGCTGGCCAGCCTTGCTACCCAAGATCACATGCTTGGGCTACAGCCTAGGCCAAGGATATTACAGGTGAACGCCTGAGCTTGGGGGCTCTGGAAGCATACTTCTCTCAGGATCCTGTAAAGAGCTCGCTGTTGGCCCAGGCCATTACTGTTGGCTCTCTAGCTCAGAAGTGCCAAGTCCAGGTTGTAGGATACAGCTCATCCTGGAAGTTAAGAGTGTTGGGGCAGGGCCCATCAGGTCCTTCTGTGGATTCTCAGGCCATGTCCTGTTCACAGCAGACTGTTAGTCATGTATCAAAAATCCAGAGCAAGAATAGGAGGGCCTGTCTGTGTGAGGAGGAGAATCTCCTTAGACTGTGATTGTTCTCCAGTTCTGTCTCAGGACTCATTGGTCAACTGAGTGTCTGTGAGCTGGGAGGAAAAGGCACTGTCCAAGCGTAAGGTATTGTATCTGGGGGGTGGTGTGCCAGGAACCGTGGCCTCCGGGGCTGGAGGCAGGCGCATAGCAGAGGTGAAAGTGGGCAGGTCATCATCTGTATCCAGAGCTGGATTATCCTGGCCCTGACGACTGGAGTGAGTCTCAGAGGAGAGAGGTGCCTGCCTCCGGGCCCACCAGTCCTTGGCTTTCTGCCACTGGTGGCGGGCAATAATAGAGAAGAAGTCAATGAAGAAGACTTCAATGATTTCGATGACACAGACGACCGAACAGCTCATCCACAGGCCCAGCTGTCCACCAAAGTTGGACAGAAGCATCTCAATCTGCAAGGGAAGCCACATTGTAACTCCAAGGCTGAGAATTGTGGCACATGCCTACAATCCAACACTTGGGGAGCAGAGAGATCTCGGGGTTGCCGGGGGCGGGGGGCAAAAGCTTTTCCCAATTGGCCTCAGCTATAGGCCTGTCTCCTCTCACTCTGGTCTTCCTCTCTGAGGCTTCATCCACCCTACATCAGGTCAGATCTCCTCAAGTTGACAGTTCCCCTAGGCCAGGTAGATAGGCATATTGATGGATCTGGGACATGCTCGACAAGCAGACTACTCACGCTGTTGGCTGGACTCTCCATGATGGATCTTTGGTTCAGGTCTTTGTAGAATATCAAGAGCTTGGCCAGGTCAGTCCTGCAGAAATTCCAACAGGTGGGGCCCAGGTGGGTGGGAAGCCTTGGCTCCCTGCCAGATGGCAGCCCCTCAGCATGGCTATCATCTCCCTCCATGGCCTATGCTCTAAACATCCTCAGATTGTTAGAATCTTGTCCCCAGGTCTCTTTCTATACCTCAGAGTGCATTTCCAACTTGGGCCTGGTTCTCAGGTCATCCATTCAGAAAAAAAACAAACTGTTTCTCAACCCCCAGAGGAAGCCAGTTCACCCAGCCACCCTTGAATTAGATTTTGACACTGGTAATTGTTTGATTGAAGTTTCAGACTGGTGCAAGTAAGAGAAGTAAGCACACTAAGGTAATAGTGATAATGATTGTAATGGCATCTAGTATCTTCTAGATACCTCTGATGTCACCAAACACTGTTGGAAGATCTTTGAGTGAATGAATGCAAGTCTCACAATGTCTCTCTGAGGTAGGAAACTGTGTTTTAATCATCCCCTTACTATACCAGTGTGGAAATTGAGACATGTATTGGGTTAATTCACTGCATAGCTGACTCACTTTGAGTGAGCTGGTTCATAGGTAGACCCCATTTGGCTTCAAGACCATGCCCTTAACTATCATTCTAAACTCTCTCCTGATAGGACAGTGGACCTGGAAAGTTCATGCTCATTCAAAGTTTTCACTGTTACATAGATATTTGATGTGATGCCATTCATGCTCATTCATGCTCATTCAAAGTTTTCACTGTTACATAGATATTTGATGTGATGCAAGAATGGAAGTTACATGTACATAGAACATTTAATCTTTTAGGAAAAGCAGAAAACAAGGGGCTGCTTTATTGGGCTAGATTTGGATAAGGGTCACTGGTCTGCAACAGTTGGTTGCAAATGCTCAGTCTCATTCTATTTGTTGTTTCTTTATTTGTTATATTTATTTGAGGCAGAATCTCAAGATGTAATCTAAGGTTGCCTTGAACCCTCAACCCTCTTGACTTGGCTCCAAAAGTTTGGGATTACTGACTGATGAGCTAAATGTGTCTTTATCATTTTACTGCAAATCCTGTGTGGGGTGGGGGTGGGGGTGGGGGACAGAGAGCAGGTTTGGTCACCTGTATGTCCCCCATTTTCCCCCAGCAACTTACACACCACCCTGCCCTTAATGGGATGCTCTGGACTGGAGACCAGATTGGCTTTTCCTGGGGAATACCCTATGCTGGAACATGGTAATGCTGAGAAGTATGAGTTTACATTGCCTGAGTCTCTACCCTATTTTTCTCCATCGGCTGAGATTTCTGATCTCTGGCCTAGGTAATTTTTGCCAAAATTATCTCAGAAATGAATTTCTTTGTGAAAAAATCCAAGTAGGATTAGAATAAAAGGACTATTTTTGTAAGTCAGGATACACTAGCAAGTCACAAAGTAAGTTTACTGGACTATGATAGTACTTGCTAATAACTGAATAGACTAGGCACAGCTAGGCATGTGCTTCATGCCTGCAATCCCAGTACTTGGTAGGTGGAGACAGGAAAATTAGGAGTTCATGGTCACTCTTAGCTTAAAAAAAAAAACTTGAGAAAAGAAAAAAAGATGAAGAAATATCAGAATATATTGAAAGGTATATCAAAATGTTTGCCAATTGAGATGGTATGTACCAAACAATCAAGCTGATATGTTGTGACCAATTAGGATGGAAACTCCTCACCCTTCCTGTTTGTTGGTTCTGGGTCCATATGTTCAACCAGGCATGGAGGGAAATTTTTGAGAGGAAGAATAATTACATCTGGACTGAACATGCACAGACTTATTTTGTGTCAGATTCTTTGAACAATCTAATGGTAGCTATTTCCATAGGATTTACATCACACTGGGTACCACGAGGAATTTAGAGAAGACTTAAACGGATGAGAGGATGTGGTAGGTCATATGCAAACATGTACCATTTCACATACAGGACTTGGGCATTCAGAGATTTTGGTATTCATGGGGGAGTCGTGGAATAGATTCCCTGAGGGTACGGAAAGACAACTGCAAATAATCGGTTTGGCCAGAGCATCCTGTGTCATCTGAAAATCAGCCCAAGTGCTTTATACATCATAAGGAAATACTGTTGCATGTTTTATTCCAGTTATGGACTCAATGGGCCACAATGCAAAATGTATTTCATACATTTGATCATGCTCAAACAAAAATCTGAGCAGGGCCTGGTTCATGATAGGAGCTCAGTAAATATTTGTTGACTAAATGATTGAATGAACGAAAAGGAGAGGGCTTGGCAATGAGGAAGCAAGCAAAGGGCCCAGAGCCTGTGGCGGACAGAGGCAGAGAGAACTGGGTGGAGGTAAACTTACTTGTTGAGCTTTTTGTTTATTTGTTGGCCTTGGTCCCAGGTGAGAACATTCAGCAACCATTTCTGTGATGGAGAAAGAAAGAGTGGGCCGCAGGCTACCCACTGCCCTCTTCTTCAGCCACACCCCCATTTCTCTGGCTTTGGTGATGTAGGTCTACCCACCTAGGAACTATGCCCCCCATAATAGAATAGATGAGGACACCAAGGGCTGGCGAGGGAAGTAGGGGTAGAGCTTACCTCAGAAGCCTCAGATGGCCACTGCGCCAAGCTGGTGGTCAGTGTCCATTCCTTAAAGCTTAGGGGAGAAGGGCACAGAGTGAAGACAGGCTGCTGACTAGCACAGCCCTGCCTGCCCTAGCCCTCCAGATCTACACACCTGCATGCTTGTTTGCACACTGATTGGCAGCCCAGCTCTTCTCGGACAAAGGCCTGGTACAGCTGGTAGTAGCAATACACTGGGGGACAGGGTAAAAGGTAGTGTGAACTTTGGGGGCACAATACCCTTCCTAGGGTCACCTTTGGAGCCCCCACTATCTTGTGATAGTTACTTATTTCTGCACCTCTTACAAATGCTACTTTTGTGGGGAGGAGGGAGAACCAATGCTGGTCTGCGATGTCAGGAAATTGTATCTTTTCCTGGTTAAAGAAGTGAGTTGGGAACCGGGCATGGTGGTGCACACCTTTAATCCCAGCACTCAGGAGACAGGCAGATATCTGAGTTCTCGGCCAGCCTGGTCTACAAAGTGAGTTCCAGTACAGCCAGGGATACATAGAGAAAGCTTGTCTCAGAAACAAACAAACAACAATAACAACAACCCAAAAGACTTGAGTTGGGGGTTAGCCAGTCCTTGGGTCCATTCTGTGACTTCTCACCTGTGTGTCCTAAGGTAAGTGACTTAATCTTTCTGAACTTTCGTTCCCTGTTCCAAGCAAGAGTACTAACAACAGTGCCATTTAGAGTTGACTATGTGGACAAGCTATTAGCACAGGCTGGGACATAGCATTTAGTCTATAATTGAAAAGTACAATCCAAGCCAGGCTTATTAACAGAAAGGGCCTTTAACACCCTCTTCAGGCAAATGACAATCAGGACAGGGGCTCAAAAGATCACAGGGAAGCCCATTGCTGGACCAAGCGATTCCCCTTCTGGGATGAGCAAGGTGGGATCACTCACTCCAGTTGGGGTGTTGCTGGTAGTTGCAGTAATTAAAGCCCATTGCTGGACCAAGCGATTCCCCTTCTGGGATGAGCAAGACTGGAGGTGGGATCACTCACTCCAGTTGGGGTGTTGCTGGTAGTTGCAGTAATTGGCTGCTGGAGGCAGAGGCTGGCTGTACTGGGCACAGCCACATTTTTCCACCATCTTCGTCTGGAAGCATGAATAAAGGCAGATCTGAAAGAGAATACCCAAGAATGTTCTTAACCTCCTTGCAGGTAGAGGCCAAGAACTCCCTGCCTGCATATCTTACATTCCAAAGCTTTTTTCTATCATGCTGGCCATATCACATACACACATAAAATTAAAGAAAACAAAATGGTTAAAAAAATTTTAAAGACCAAGTTTTTCCGGGAAGCCCAGCATGGAATTCTCTAGCTTCCATCAGAACTGAGCTGAGAGGTGACACAAACATACCTCTTTGCTCACAAAGATTTTAGACCCCCTAAAAGTGAGTTCATTAGAAAGATGCCCTGAGTAATGTTTAGTGGTAAGTTACTGAGGACAAATATTTTAATATAGTCATGTATTTCATGTTCACCAATCTTGTGGAGTAATATGGTACTTAAAGATGAAAAAAAGACACAGCCGAGATTTGAATAATCTACCTGTGGTCATGAGGAAGATAGATATCACAGCTAATATTTGGGCAGGTGTGGTGGAGCACACCTATATTCCCAGCACTCAGAAAACGGAGTCAGAAGCACAGCAACATGAAGGGCCAGCCTGAGCTACACAGTGTGTTCAAGGCCATCTTGGGATACAAAATAAGACCCTGCCTCAGAAACAAAACAACAAACAACCAACAACAACAAAAACAATGATCCTGAATAGCTTGGCTTTGAAGCCCCTACCCTACATTGCAAGTTTCCTGGGTACTATGGTCATAATCCTGAGAGGTCCAGTGTGGAGGACTTAACTGAGTATTGGACTGTTAGGACTGTGCTGCTCACTGTTTATTGAAAGTTGCTCCAGTTTCCCCTTTCACCTAGGTGTTAGCACTTACATGACATAAAATAGCCTACAACCTCATTTGCCATGTAGACCAGGTTAGCCTCCTATGAGCTTCTAGGGACCCACCTGTGTCTAACCTTGCCATTGCTAGGTCATGTGGATTCTGAGAGTGTGAACCCATGTCCTCATGCTCTTTGAGCTGTCTCTCTAGTATTCCTTCCCCTCACCACCCATCTTATATTCTGCCAAGATGATATCTGTGAGCTTTCTAGCATCCCCGTAGGAGGCTAACTTCAGAGTTCCAGTCTGTGAGAGGAGGTGTAACAGTCCACCACTCATTGCACTTAAAAAACTGCAATGCCTACAGGGGTCAGTGATGTCATATGTTATAGGGGGCAGATCTGTGACTGCATAGCTTGTTTAAAGTGGCGGCTCCTCCTGTGGTTTGTCCTGCTGGGGTATCTGTTCCCAGATCCTAAATCACTCTATTTATTTATTGCTTTTTTTGTTTGTTTGTTTTTTCGAGACAGGGTTTCTCTGTATTGCTTTGGAGTCTGTCCTGGAACTTGCTCTGTAGACCAGGCTGGCCTTGAACTCACAGAGATCCTCCTGCCTCTGCCTCCCAAGTGCTGGGATTAAAGGTGTGCGCCCTTTTCAAGAAAAGCTAGAAATATGGATTTTCTTGTGGCATTTCCTGAATTTTTAATGCCATTCTGGTTAGAGCAATCAGTATGCAACCTGGAGGAGTCCAGGAGTTGCCAATTAGCTCACCTTGATCCAGTACAACTCTGTGACTGTCAAGGAGGTACAACTTACCCAAGTCATGGGGCACAAATGAATCTGGAAGCCAAAACTTTTGACCCTTCAGCTTTTGTCTCCTACTGAAGGTTCCCCTCCTGTCTATCCTTTGCCAAGACCCATTTAGCAAGTAGACCTGTCTGCCTTGTACATTGTGTTCCACATAAACCTCAGTGAGTCAATTAGTCTCTGGTTACAGAGGACCGAAGAAGACTGGAATCAGCTGGCATCATTTGTACTTGAGGTCTTTGGACCAACCCCAGATATCCTCACCCTAGTTCCTGGTCCCGGGCACACCTCAGCTTAGTTATAACTTCATCTTTTGGATCCAAGCCATGACCCAGAGATGAGGGCCCTGCCATGCCATACCTGGAGGGAGTAGGCAGCGTTGTAGATATTTGTGATGGGCACATCACTGCCGTCCTCTGTGCATTGGCTGTAAGGTTCACTCAGCTTGAAGGATTCTGTCTGCAATTACAATAGTACACAGTCATCTATACCTCCCTAGGGATCTGGATGGGAGGACCCCTCTGAAGGTGACTAACAATTTAGTTAGTCACCTCAGGTTACCAAGTACCTAATAGGTCTGGTGCCATTGAGGACACTGTGAAATCCATAATGAGAAAGGTTGACAAGTGCCCTGCTCTCGCTGAGCATGGATTCCGGAAGGGTATACAGCCAGGTGACCAATAAGATACTCTGCCTTACTAGTTTATTAGTCAATCAATGATATGGGGCTGGGAGATGGCTCAGTGGGTAAAGTGTAAAGACCTGAGTTTAAATCCCCAGAACCCACATAAAGCTGGACACAGTAGATCCTGGGTCTGTAATTCTAGAACGCTGACAGAGAAACGGGAGGTAGACAGAAGACTCCTAGAAGCTTATGGCCCAGCTAGTCTGGGATATGACAAACCCCTGATGTGTCTTTGACCTCTACATATGTCCTGTGGCACATACATCAACACACACACACACACACACACACACACACACACACACACACACAGAGGTTTTTTTTAAATGAGATTAATTTTGGATAATGTTCAAGGACACTGGGTAGACTTAAGACGATGAAACAGTCAATCTTCCAATCTTCCAGACAGATTAGAAGGCATCTCTGAGAAAGGGCCCTTTGGTAGAGACAAAGACCAAAATGAAGAGCCAAATCCATACACTTTGATGGCTGGGTCATGGCCATTTGGATCCTGATCTAATCTCTCATATGGACATCTAGAGCCTAACCTCTAATAACTCATATGCCTTATCTGTCCAGGCTCCAGAAAAACTGAAAAATTTACTACTCAACAAGATAAAGAAGGGTTTGTTTGTCCTCTCAGATGTGGGCCTGCCCAAGAGCCTTACAATGGTAAAATGAAATAACTCCCCACTATAAAAGAACTCTTACCCCTTCTGAGTGGTCTGAACCCTTGCTGGAACATTACTCGCTGAACTTCTGCAAGGTGTCTTAAGACACTCTCTGCTTTATGTCTTAGTATTTCTTTTATGGCCTACAATAGTTACTTTTAAATATCAACTTGCCATAATTTAGCATCGCCAGGGAAGAGAACCTCAACTGAGAAACTGTCTTTATCGGGTTGGGTCTGTGGGTGTGAGCATGGGAGGCTGGAGTCTTGATTATTTCTTGAAGTAGGAACACTTACCCTGTATGAATGTGGCACCATCCCTTGGTTTGGGCCCTTGGGCAGTGCAAGAGTTGAGAGGGGTAGCTGAGTAGCAAGCAAGCAGGCAGCATGGGTGCATTCGTTTCTTTGGTCCTGACTGGGTGTGATGTGACTAGTGCTTGGGCTCCTATCATTTCTCTGAAATGATAGACTATAACTTGGTGTTATGAGCCAAATAAGCCTTTTCTTCCACTAACAGCTTCTGGTCAAAGGTGAGTTTTTTGTTTGTTTCTTTCGTCTGTTGTTTGTTTGTTTTATCACAGCAACAGACTGAGGTGAGGACTGGGACCATGTCATCAGCTTCCTCTGCATGGCTTCCCAACGAACCTTTTTTGGGTTGAGTCAGTATAAAATGTTAAAAGGGAGTTGGTCTTTGGAGACCTGGGGGAAGAATGCCAGGCAGAGGGAGCAGCAAAGATTGAAGTGGGGGTTGGGTCATTGTGCCTGGAACTTGGCAAAAGAGAGAAATCTCTGGGGCTGAGAATGTAGTTTAGTGGTAGAGCTCTTTTCTAGCCTGTGTGAATTTAATGTCCAGCATAGGGGTCAGGAAGAAAGATCTCTGGAAACAAATCAGAGAAGGAGTTAAGACAAAACCATCCTGTGTGCCTGCTGAGAAACCTGAATTCCTGCTTCCTGAATGGTAATGAGCCATCTGTTTATCTGCTGTGAGGGGAACTGGAAGGTTAGAAAGAAGTGTGGGGCTGTGAGATGCCTGAGTTTCCAGTCCCTTCAAGAGGGCCCATTTCCTTGCCTCTCGTTCTGAATGCTGACTTTCTTAGAGGAATCAAGGAAAATAGAATAATATGGTCTGATCATAAGAGGAGAGACTACGTCGATACTCAAATTTCAAAGCCCTTATCCATCCACATATAGCAGTTCAGCAAGTTTGCCTCCAGCTTAATATATGTCAAAGCAAATAAACAACCTAGACACAACAAAGGAAGAAAAAAACCAAATGAACAATAGCATCAACAACAAAAATAAGGATGGGCAGTGATAACGTCTCTGAAGAGGGGCAAGAACTAAACAGAAACTGTAGCCAGCCTAGAGTGAGGGTCTGTGGTCTGCTCACATGTGAGAATGCTCGTGTGTGCCCACACACCCATGTACATTGTTGTAGATCAGGCTAAAGAGGCATGGGATGGCATGCTTCTAAGAGAAAGGTTGATAATTGGGCAAAACAAAGAACCGGAAGGCGCCACACAAATAAAAACAGACCAGAAGCATGTGGAGAGACTACTCTCTCTCTCTCTTTCTTTCTATTTTGTAATTCATCTGATGACCCATTAGTTTCCCTCAATTAACTGCAAGTACCTGAAGGGCAATTGGCTGTCCTCACTTTGAAGTTCTGGAACAACAGAAGCAAGCAAAGGGGGAAAGTGGCTGTTTGGACAGATAGACAGCAGACAGACAAGACAGACATAACTCTGTTGTCTTTTCACTAATATTGCTTATAACAAATGAGCTTGTTTCCAGTTAGTGCAGAATCAATGGACTGACTGGGAAATAAGATGCAGAGAAGCCAAGCTGTAACTCTCCCCAAAGACACCTTTATTCCTTGTCACCCTCTGGACTCTTCTGAGCTGCAAGCTTTCTAGGAATCTTGAGACCCAAGATCCTGCTGACCTGTCCACAGAGCCAGAGTCTGCCACAGGCTCTACTTGTCTGCTTCAGCAAGAACACCAACTGGCATCCAGGTAAGGTGGTCTGCGTGCTTGGGACTCTGGCAGTCAATGGATACTCAGAAAGCATAGGAATCACAGACTCCAAGGGACATCTCAGGGCCCCGTGGTCCCATAGAAGCCCTGGGTGGTTCAGGGCTTTCTCCTCACTCATTCCTGATAGGTGGAGGTTCTTCCTCCAGAGATTCAGCTGGAAGAACTTTGTCAGGATGCTTTCCAGCCCTGCCACACCTCCAATTCTGATTCATACCAACTGATCTCAAGATTTTATTCTGTGGCAAAAGTCAAGCTCCTGGCTTCACCCAGGTAAAGGTCTCTAAAAAGAACTGAGGCTGCACAAGGTGGAGCTGTGTCTCCTGCTGCCTGTGTCAAAACTGTGCAACACCTACATCCTGTCCCAGAGCCACTATAGAGGGTTGAGCAGTGAGCAATCTGGTCTCCCAGCTCACCCAGAGCAATACTGCAGTCGTTTTCCACTGTGTACAAATCAGGTTGAGACTTTTGGGAATGAAATATTTTTGCTATTGTAGACAAGATGTCCTCACTCCTAGCTCCAGAGGATGTAACTGAGATAGAAGGCTGCTCATAGAAGAAGAATTCAGAACCCAACTCTGACCATCTTATCTGACCATACACCAAGGTGGTAGGATTCTGAGCCCTTCTAAGGGACCCCTTCTGCAGCAACCACATTATGACCAATGGCCAATCATCCCTACACAAGCTGCCGTGGCAGACTCACTAGCGTTGCAATCAGAAATGGGGGCAGGGCATGGAGTTGAAACAAGTCTGAATTCAGGTTCCAGCAGATCCCTCATATTGAATGGCTTGATTTCCTTAGGCTTCAGTGTTTTCTGAGAACAGTTTACGTTATGTTTACGTAAGTCTCTGACCTGTATGGTGTATGTAATTTTGATGGTCAGCCTGACAGTATTTCGAATCATCTAGATATTTGCAGAAATGTTTAACCGTGGAGAAAAGACCATTCTGAACATGACCACACTATTCACTAGCTTCATCTCTGTGTCTCCCCACGGAGGAGGAAATGTGATCAGCCATGCCTGCTGGCACTCCTACCTCACCATGGTGACCTGCATCCTCAAACTGGGAGACAAAATAAACCTTCTTATCCTCAAGTTGCTTTTTCTGGGTATTTTGTCATAGCAAGGAGAAACATAAGGAAGATATTAAGTCAATTCATTGAACAGCTAATAAAACTGACTTTCTAATAAAACAAGGGAGGAAGAGGCAGGCAGATCTCGGTGAGTTTGAGGCCAGCCTGGTTTCCAGAGTGAATTTCTCTGTCTGAAACTCTGTCTGGAAAAACAAAACAATCAAATACTGGGAAGGAGTGGAGATATAGTTCCATTATAGAGTGCTTACACAAAGCTGGGGTTCCATTCCTGACAACACATAAACCAGGAATGACAGCATATCCACCCAGGGATGGAGAGGGGAGCAGAGTCAGGAGGATCAGAAGTTCGTGAGACTCTACTACACGGAGAAACCCTGTCTTAAAAAACCAAAGAAAATAAATAAATAAGCAAATAAATAAATAAATAAATAAATAAATAAATAAATATTGCAGCGATGGCCTCCATGTGGCTGCTGAGAGAAGGAGCCATGGCTTCAGTCCATGGCTCTGATTACTGTTGTGAGGACTCACTGAACCTAATGCTAAGAAAGAGCTTACATAGAACTTCTCCACAAAGGTCAGTTAGAATTCCTAGAGTGTGTTCACAGTCTATACGCAACTCATCCTCTCCCAGTGCAGCGGCACCAGGGATCGCTGACCCCAACGCTGACCTCCAGCCAAAGCTTTTCTACTGAGACCTAATTGACCACTGCCAAACTCTGCCTAGGTGGTCCACAGATATCTTAAACATACCATGACTGTGGGAGTTTGCAAAATTTAGCCAAGTCCTGCTGTCTCGTAAGGAGATCAAGTTTGCTTTCCACCAGTTGAATCCAGGTAGGTCACATGACTCACACTTTGGCCCGTGGGTTATCTACAAGTAGATACTTGAAAAGTGCTTGCCCATCAGAACTAGCCTTCCCTTGCTGACCTTGGAGCCTGTGTCACTGTGTGAACATGTCCAAGCCAGTC